GATTGTCTACAATTAGTACTCAGGTAATATGTTAATGTGTTTGCACACCTTTATATTTCTTAGAAAACCAGAACAGAAATTTACATAAGATACCACTGTTCGAAAACCTAGTTTTATTAGTTTTTTGCATAATCTCAACCACAAGTAGTCAGGATCATAATTTAGTATTCCAACCCTAGCATTGGTACATCGGTTAAGCATTGCTAATCCAGAGGAAGCAAGGCCACACACTGACTGATCTTTCAGCACCACATCCCTGGGGACCTCATGCTCATACATTTTTAACTGCTGTACATTTTTGGGAAGCTTAAAATATCTTCCAAAACCAGAGACATGGTAAAAAAAAATCTCTCATACTTTTGCGATATCTCAAGAGGAAAGTCCGTTCTGAAAGCAGAGTCGAAGCAGCCTCTGTAAAATGCAACAGCTGCTTTAGAGATTTTTTTTTCCAGAACCATTGGGCTGCTACTCAGATATTCTTTAGTGAGCAGAGCAGTGATAAGAATTGCTCCTAATTTATTTTAAAAGTAGCACTCAAAGCATCATACGGTGATAGAATTATTCAAAAATACGTTACATTCTCTAAAGAGATTAAAAAGCAAATCCCAAACATCTTGCAGAGCACACTTTGCAGTCAAAAGGATTCTCTTCTCCATAACAGTATCTGACAAGACGCAAATGCTGCATCTGCGCATTTTGGAGAAACGAAGACGGAAAATAATAGCACCTATCCAAGTAAAAATAACTTTATTAATATTATGTAAGATGCTTATTCAGCAAACATGACTCACAAGTGCTTGATGTAACCATTCAGTTAGGAGGCATTGTGCTGTTTTATGTGCCACATCTTTTATAATGCCCCCATTGTTCAGCCTTTAAATGACACCTGCCTGATATTAATGGAGAACATCAGTTATACCATTGTCTAGTACTGCCATCTGTCCATAAATCTGCTGCCAGCAACAATGTTGCTCTTACTGTGGATTAGGTTACAGCTTCTCACTGGCTAACCTACAGACACCCAGAGCTCCATCAGCGTCCCCCCTCAGGCCCCCACCGCACTGAGGATGCTTCAGAGGTACAGTTCATCCCTGACTGGGACTGTTCTGTCACCAGATGCAGTATTGTACCACGCAACAGTCAGGACAAGCTTGGCTGTAGCTTGTCTTCTCAGATCATTTCACTCTAATACTCAAAAGCTTTCGTGTGGTATTTCTAAAAAAATCATTTTATACTATTGTTTAGGGTCATACATGGAGAACATATTATTAACATGGGGCCCATTTGCTCGATGTTGGTCCATGAATTCATCGTTGTGTTTCTCCTTCTGCAGGAGCGCAGAACACAAGGTCCAGTCCATAACAGGGCACACACAGAATTTAGAAACTAATTAAGCTAGACTACACGCCTTTGAGTAGTGGACAGAGATTGTAATGCAGAGCACAACCCAACATGATTGAGGAGAGCATGCAAACTTCACGCAGAAGGAGCTCCAGTTCAGAATTATTTCCAGGCTTCAAGTAGCGTGAACTGCCATGCTTGTGCTACTCATGTGAATGCCAGCAGTGGCTACAGAAGAAATGTATTGGTTGCCTCTTATTATGTATAAAGTTTAGATTTCAACAGCATACATTAAGTGAGCATTTTACACTGTGTGTAATTCTGTAAGGTCCACACTGTGTTACCATGACACAGTGAGCATGCTATAATATCAAGGGATTTATCCCCACCTGGTGTCATACCCAAAACATTTTCTTCTAATTAAGAAACCTAACCAGCAATCATCGTCCACTCCTCCCCCAACAAAGCTCAATCATAAACATTTCTCTACCAAACTCTCTCACACACCATTTTGTATCAATAAACACATGTGAACATCCACAAATTACATTTGATTAATCAAACAATTAGTGTTCCCAGTGCAGCTATGTACTGCACAACCCAGAGTCTTTGAGGCCTGTTTTGACAGATCAGGTGGAAGATGCATAGTAATTAATTCTTTTGCGGAAGAACCTGCCACAGTAATCTGCTTTGTTTCACTCCTGTCAGGCTCTTTATCAACTACTATATTCTTCCTCTTGGATTTTTCCTTTGGTGTGGGTTTGCCATTCATCTGGCAACTGGCAACCTGACATTTACAATAAAGACTCCGAAACGTTCTCCTACCCCAATGCGCCAAGGACCTCCTTGATTCAGAAGAATTCCAAACCACTTGAGGTATTGGCATCGAAGATGAAGATCAGGAGGCCACCAGTTGTTTGAGACTGGCCTGGAAGATCCAGTGAGCGTTTGATATTCTGCTCCATGACTATTAGATTCTCCTCGACTATGCAGCATTCAGTATGCAGACCAAGAGCTACATTACCTGGACCTGTGGCTTGGCTGCTGAAGGTGAAGGAACTCTGAGAAAACAGATGGCCAGAAAATCAGTGCACATTATTCAGCCAGATCCCACCACCTAAAACCTGTTGTCTTTTTTTCTAAGGGAAGGCGATAGGTGACCCAGCGCTGATTCAGGTTCTATCTCAGTCGAGCTGCATTAACAGCAGAGCTATAAAAAGAAAACAACCTCAGGGAACTTCTGGCCTTGTAGCTTTTCTGTGGGAGCAGGTACATGGATACATTAACATCACAGAACTGAATATTGCTGATTGTAGAACAGCTACCAGGATGTGTTTGTCTTTTCAGAGAATTCAGAAAAAAAAGGCTGGATTGGAAATAAATAAGCAAGCATGTAATTGCAGCACAGAAGTAGGGAATTTAGTTCCTAATAGTCTATCACTCTGAAAATGGCTCAGTAAATGAAATGGGCATGATGGCACTGTACCACTTTGATACAGAAGGTTTCTACATTAGTTATTCAAAAATGAAAAAAATCATTTCCGCAGTCTGTACAGTACCTGCAGACAGAATAGGAGGGGACAATCACGCAAAAACAACAAACTCATTAATCTTTCTCCATGCGTGCCCCTGGGGCTGTCTAGTGTCCTTCGCTCCCCAACACTATGAAGGAGAATGTTTCTTCTAAAAATAGCAATAGAGATAATGCAGCGTTTTTTCAAGTTAATCAGTCCATTTTGAGGTGTTCTGAAAATTATGGATATTAGAGGTGTTTCCTTCAGATTTCAAAACTGTTTTGGGGGAAACGTGCCTTTTTTTCTCTTTGTAGATTTGGATCAGTTATTAAAATGACATGTTTTCAGCGTAGAGAGCACGGAAAAATAGTATCTTAGGAAATCCCATCCTGTTTTCATTACTAAAGAGGGTGTTCAGCCAGCTTTAAAGCACATTGAAAACATGGTCCTGAATTACACAATTTTACAGATTTCTCTGTAACGTCGTACTGCGTCATGTACAGGATTTTCAATTTGGATAAGCCAATGTAATTTCATACAGAAAACATGTTTGCGTGCCCTTCTTAAATACCAATATGCTTCCATCTGGACGTTTCGCTGGGAGAGAATTCTAAATTTCAGCCCAATCTGTTTCGGTGCTACATTAGTGTATATGCAAACATACAAGAAAGCCTCGATAATACATTCATGTGACCGACACTGACCAAAAGATTAATCTTAATAGCACTGAGAAAAGGTATTTAATTTTTAGTGCCTAATGTTATGGACATGAGACTTTTTTGTCCAAGTTACTTTTGCAACAGTTTAACCGGGTCGCAGCACAGCCGAGAGACAAATGTATAATCACATTTAAAAAAATAAAACGCAGTGAAGAGGTGAGTGAAGGTCAAACTCTACGACAGTAGTGTTTGTTAAAGGCAACTACGTTCATGTTTGAAACACATATCGTACATTAACTGCGTTATTAAAAATGTAAACTTTAGAATAAAAAAAAACATTTCGTATCGTAGTTACGCCAGATTTTGAGACATTATTTTACAACCTTCTGGCTTAAAAACAGAAACGGTCAAAGGTGCAGAATTGCACCATGACCCGAAAGAAAAACAGTCAGAATAACTTGGATCGTATTTATCAAATCACCTTTTGTTTTTTATTTGTTGCGTGCATAAACATGTAGACGACCTTTAAACCACGTAAGCGTGCTTCGTAATCTGTCGTTAATGCGTACTTTCACACAGTGAACAGTGAAAGGTTATATTTACTGTATATAGCTGTAGAAACTGAATGACAGCGCCATCTGTAGGAAGCTGACAGTATGCATTTAGAAGTTGTAATTTCGTAAAAACACCAAAATAAAGAAATTATTTATTCGATACTTTAATTTAAAACAATAATACTTTTGTACTTTAAAACGATACTTCAATTGCCTGTCCATTGATAGCTCTGTATTAAAGTATGTGGAGTGAGTGTATTGCTATTTGTTTATGAAATGTAGTCAAATTCGAAATGTTTCCTAATAATAGTTTTTTTGTAATCTTTAAAACATGTTTAACAATAGTATACATTTAAAGTAAACATTAAAATGCGATTTGAAAAACATGAAATGAAAAAAAAATCAACTTGTTTCCGCCCGGTTTCGAACCGAGGACCTTTCGCGTGTTAGGCGAACGTGATAACCACTACACTACGGAAACTGAGCTGTAGCACCACTTGCACGGAGCGTTCTTATCCTGCATTGTGCCGCCGTTTTCTTGTTTCTTGTTTCCGGATCATTTTTCTTCATTTAAAATAATGTTAATATATGTATAACTGTGAGACTACAGCTATTCTTGGCTTCTTGGTGACATTACTGAATACTTTATTTTTAAAACTTCAATATGACGTAGTCGGTGATATATTGATTACATTGATGTATACAGATACATGAATGTCCTTCTATAATAGCCTTAATTATGTTGTGTAACAAATTCACTCTTACAAATACAAAGCACGGGCGGCTGCCCAAAGCTTTCACTTCTAATAACCCGCCGGTTGCACACGCTTACTGACTGGCCATGTGGAGGGAAAAGTCATGCAGTGTAATGTATGACATAATATCGATGGCTGTTACTTCACAATCACCGCGTGGCTAAGGCAACGCGCGGTGAATTTCTGCAGACTGGAGTGGATGCACCGAGCAAATAGTTATCCTCCAACTACTAGCATGGACAGCTCTTCTATTTTCAATTATACCTTATTTCTTTTTCCCGATTAATAATCAATCCGTGATCCAAAATGGACGATCTGCCACCAGCTACAGTTATCGATAACGGATCGGGGCAAATCAAAATTGGTATCTCTGGGGAGAGGGAACCTAGGTTTATATACGAAAACATAATTGGAAGCCCTAAGGCTACATCTGCTACCCAAGTTCCAGATCTGAAAGACTTTTATATTGGAAAAGAAGCGTGGGACAAAAGAGACAACTTGACCATTCAGTACCCAGTGGAGAACGGCACTGTGGTCTCCTGGGACAACATGGAGATGGTGTGGAAGAATATCTACCGCAGTGATCTGAAGTGCGACTCCAGGGAGATGGCGGTTTTGATGACTGAATGCCCAGGCAGCCCTGCCGCGCAGAGAGAAAAGATGTGCGCGTTGATGTTTGAGGAGTTCAATGTGCCGGCCTTCTACGTGGCCGTCCAAGCTGTTCTCGCCCTTTTTTCCACCGGCCGCATAACCGGCTGCGTCCTGGACATCGGGGACGGGGTGTCCCACGCGGTGCCAGTTTACGAGGGGTACTGTCTCCCCCATGCAGCCCTGAGACTGGACCTGGCCGGCAGAGACATCACAGAGTATCTGGCAAGTCTGCTCAAGGACAACGGGGTGTCCTTTGCGGGCGCCGCGGAGGAGGATATCGCCGGAGACATCAAGGAGAAGGTCTGCTATGTGGCTCTGGACTCACAGCTCGAGTTGGCCAAGCCAACAGATGAAGCGGAGAAATACTTCAGGCTCCCAGATGGGCAAGTGGTAACAGTGCACACTGAGAGATTCAGAGCGCCAGAGATACTCTTCCGACCCGAAGATGTTGGCATGGAGGCGCCTGGGGTGGACAGGCTGTTATTCAAAACTGTTATGAAGAGCGACGTCGACCTGAGGAGCACCCTGCTAGAGAATATCGTCCTCTCCGGCGGCTCCAGTCTTTTCCCCGGCATGGAGAGGAGGATAAAAAAGGAAATAAGCACCCTCGCTCAGCCCGGGATGGCAGTCAAAGTCTTCGCTCCCCCAGAGAGGAAAATATCCACTTGGCTGGGCGGGTCAGTGCTGTCCTCGCTTTCGGCCTTCAGGGAGATGTGCATCACGCCCGCAGAATATGAAGAAGTTGGGCCCAATATAGTGCACCAAAAGTGCTTCTGAAGACGAGTGCAACGAGCAGTGTTTTGGCCAATAAAAATGTGGAGATCTGCATAAACTACCTTCTATTTTACATTGGTACTCAGACACAATTAGGAAAAACAGTAAGGTGATATTCAGTCCTGTAACCAGCTTTAAATATTTGAAATTAAAAGTCGTTTCCTTTTAAAAGTAATTGGAATAAAAAACTCGATTCTAAACCTAAAATGAAGTATACGAGGGAGCACTTGATACAGTCTTCCAAAATGACGCGTTCCTTTATAGATATTTAAGCTTTTTAAAATGAATTTTCAGCTTTAAAACAATAGAAACATGGAATTGATGGTTTCCATGTTTATTTGACGTGTTTGTTTTTAAATAATCTGTTTTCTTCGGTTTCGTGACCATAATTTCGAATTTTGTTGAATGACCCTCTTATACTACGTGAATACCACTGTACACTGTCGAAATCTATGAGAGTTGCGGATCTTTAATGTATTTTACGGTAAAGTTAGAAGGGCAAACTAATGGGCGTGCCTTAGTGTGACGTCACATAATTGTATAAAAGCGTGGCTCTCGCGGCGCAAGTTGAATAGGTCAGCAGTCATTTCTAACCCTAATTATTTGTGTGCAGCCTCTCCGTAGTTTGCTGTTTTGCTGGCTTTCAGTAAACTAGAGGATGTTGGATATCGAGGCCGTTTTTCTTTAAAAAAGTCTAGATTGTGCTGACCATTCGCTCATGCCCTTGGGTGGTAGTGTCTTTCTATGGCCGTGGTCAGCTTACGCTGCCTCGAAGAGTTCGTCTCTGTGCCGGACACTGCTCCCGGGGAAATTGCCGAGCAGGACTTGAGCAGAGTAAAATTGAGCAGTGAGGAAGCTTTTGCGTTTCCCAGAGTCTTGGGATCCGCGAGCAATGATCTGCTCAGACAAATTACACGAAAATGGAAGGTAACGGCTTGTGAAGCAGGAGTTTCTGTTGCCGTTCTTGTATGTTTATTTTATTCGTCGGTTTGGTAAGCTACGGGGTATAAAAAGCTTGGTTCACTTCTTTATTTCTTTAATGTTTCCGTGTTAACGATCTTGGAAAGGTTGTAGGTGATATTCCCTTTCAAGCGGCCATTTTGGACTTTGATATGCGTGGTAAATGCGCTCTTCTACTAACCATAGCTGTGTGAGCCAAACGTTTCTAATACTTTAATCTGCTTTCGCACCGACACGTGTCTTTGCAGTCAGACTCCACCTGCAGTCATGCATCCTTTTAAACCAGCATTCAGGATGCACGCTGTACAGGTTTCGCTTCTATTTCGTGTATAATCGCGATTGTTTAGTGCAGTGTATTGAACAGCGGCAATGCATACTTTAATATGCATCGGAGTTCGTTCAAATAGTTTGAAGGATTTTTATTTTATTACGCTGTGGTAATTCTAACATTTGTAACCTTATGCCTTGTACCTTCTGTAGTGACTCGAAGCACCGGTAACCTGGTATCTATAAAGGTGTTTGCGTTTAAAACGCATCTTTTTATTAACGGTATGTCTTTGTAATTCTGACAAAGCGCGTAGACTGTCGGCAGCTACAAATGATCAAAACTTGGTTTTTAGGCAAGAGACGATGAGGGGGGCTGCGTGGAAAAGAGAACTGCAAAATCTGTTGTGGCTATAAAGCGAGCTCAGCCACGAGAAACTGACGTTTTCATCCTCTCATGCTGATGTGTCTTAACTTAATTTGAAATAAAGGCCTGTTGATCACTTCACCTCTGTAGCTGGACTTTTTTTTTTTCCTGGTCCCCTGAAGATGGGGTAAAGTCACTAATTTGACTTCATTTACATCTCTAGTCCCCTGGGCAGGATGGATATAAAAAATGATTCAATACATTTCATTTTACAAACATGCACTTGATTGAGAGAAACTGGAGGGGGGGGGGTGTTTATTTGGTGCATTAAAATTATTTTAAAATGATCATTTTGAACAGGAGTCAGGCAAATGTTACCCACACAGTGGGTAAAAACACAGTTTTTCTTGACTTCCCAGTACCCTGGGTGCTTCTGCAGTAGTACTCATAGTTTACCTAAGAAGACAAATCATGTTAAACTGTTTTCTTTTCTCAAGTTTGTTTTCAGGTTCCAGGAGGTTCTGCTTCTAATGGTATGTGGCAATCTGGATGCATTAATTGTCAGCTTGCATAGTAGTCTTAATTTAAAATGAATATTTTCAGGTAAGTTAAGGAGTTTATTATTAAAGGGCAATTGACAAGCCCAGGCTACAACATTAAATGAGTCCTTGGCTGATTAGATGTTCTGACAGCTCATAAATTATCCCCCCACTCTGTAAGGATGTTGGCTGTTTTTTTTTTACTTTTTAAAGTAATTTAGTCATCCACCTTTTATGCTAATGGAATGGGGTTCTAATGAAGAAATTTATTTTAATAGCAAAGCTTAGCTTTAAATGGTGTTTAAAAGGACCCAAAGTGGTAAGCTATTATCTACTTAATGTATGGGGTGAAAAGGAGTTTTGTAGTTGGGAGCTAACTGATCCAGGAATCTCATCCAGCTGTTGACTGAAAGAAGCCAGGGTATCAGCTTCAACATGACTGCTTGGCGTGTTCTTTACTCCCACAACCCTCCACAAAGTGCCTCCTCTCCTTGGTTTTAAATGTGCTTTCACTTGGTTTCTGCTTGTGCCCTCTGATAAGTGTTTCACTATTGATTTGGCAGACGTCCATTGTGTTGCCTTTGTCAATGCCTATGATTTTGAATTTGTTGGATCCTCTCATTGTCATCCTTGGTCAAGATTAATAAAGGTCTTTCAGCCTGTCAGGGGAGGACATTCCCAGAATGCATCTAGATGTTCCACACTGGACCGAGTCCAAAGCAGTGTTTTCCATAATGCAGTCGTCAAAGCTGTATACACATGAAGCTTTTCTAGTGTGTTGTACAATTTTACTATAATTTCTTTGTTTTAATTCTGCACTAAAATTAACTTGAGGAGGATGTGGGAAAAGGTTTTGGTGTACTGTTTTTGTTTCTTGGGAAAGCTGTTTCCCTTGAAGTTGCATTTTCCCCATGAGTGCAACTTAAATGTCACTACTTAAACATAAAGATGCTCATTTTGATATGGGTGGCGAAGTGGTTAGTGTTGCTGCCTGTCAGTTCTGGGGCCCTGGTTCAATTCCTGGGGTGCTTGATGTGTGAACTTTGTATGTTCTCCCCATGTTAGTGTGTTTCTTCTAGGTGCTCCAGTTTCCTCCCACAAGTCCAAAGATATGCTGGAGGCTAATTGGCTTCTGGAAAAGTTAACCTTGTGTGTGTCTGCCCCTGCGCTTTGGTAGAATGTCTAGCCTGTGTGGCCGTTGCTTGTCAGGGTAGGCTCCAGCTCCTCTCTGACCCTGCATTGGAAGAAGCAGTTAAAAGGTGGATGGATAAGAGTGTGTATTCCACAATATAGAAGATAAACCCTGCCTGTCTGAGTTACTGTACTGTACACTGTAGATCCTGTACATGCAACTCATAACATTAAAGTATGAAAGAGCTTCCTCAATTCAACACAACAGACAGGGTTGGAAAACCCAGTGTAATTTCATGATGGAAATGAACAAAATCTACACCTCTTACTTTGTAAATTGATGAGCTTTAACTTTTCAGAAGTTAAGTTCTTCTGAAAAGTTAAATTCCTGTCAGAAGGAGAGTTTTGAAGCTGGCTTTCAGCTGGTGATATGTACAGTATATATAATCACTTCTTCAGATGTTGCATAGGAGTAGGCTCCCCATCTGACGTTTCATTTCACCCTGCAGGTTCTGTGTGAGACTGCTGGATTGAATCATTACACTTTTTTTCTGATGTGGATGCTGACATTGTACAGTCCTTAATTGTGCTACCCATTACTTGTGCCTTGTGTATTTTAATTGGAGGATGTAATCTAAAGTGTTTCAGTATGAGCAGCTACTATAGAGGCTCATTAGGCAGCAGGACTGCACTGTGTAACATTACTAAGAGCAGAGGCCTAGTATTCCTGAACACCATTTAAACATTCAATGGTTGTTATACTGTAAAGTGGAGTAGGCTATAAGTATTTTTAGCCTTTTGTCTAAATAGTGATTAATGGTGTTATTGACTGTTTGTCAGTGCACTTTATTGAAAGAAGTGTGCAATCTAAAAGCCAATTGTTACTGATTAACAGTCTTTGTTTAGTAGAAAAAATAGTCTACTTCTCATTATGACTAGTGCTATAAGGTGAATTGCTGCCTGTGTAATTATTTCCCCCAGGATGACTATAAAAATGCTGGAGTATTGTTGCCAGAGCACTGAGTAATCTGTACAAATAGTTATTGGAAAGCCAGACTCCACTTGGTTGTGATTTACTGATTTGTGTTTTTTTTCTCGATGATGTAACCACATATGAGACAGGATCTTCCTGATAAAGTGATGGTACTTAACAGTGTAATAGTGTACTAAAGACAGATTTATTTGAAGGATTTTTACATTGTACTAATTAAAGACGTCAATGATCATGTCTGTTGAGGGAATAAAACATCTTGGTTACAGCTGACCATTTTTTTCTGATCGGTTCAATATGGTTTTCTGTGACTGTGTGTACTGAGAACATAAAGAACATCCGTTACAAACAAGAAGAGGCAATCTAGTACGTCTGATAGCTAGTAGCTAATTGATCCCATGAACTCATCCAGCCGTTTCTTAGAAGAAGCCAGTATATTGGCTTCAACTCCTCGGCTGGGTAGCTCAGGATTCCCCAGTTCTGGTCCTGATATACCCACATACTGTACCTGCTGGCTTTCCTTCCAACTGAGGAATAATAGAACCCATAAGAGGCCTTATAATAGGTTTCATTCGAATGTCTGTCTTTTCAGTTTCTAAACATGTACTGTAGGCGGTTGCCTTTCAGTTATTTTATTTCTTAAGGAACCTAAACTTCAAATAGAAACACTTTCTGCATCCTGCTTGTTCAATTAATGGTGGCATGGTGGCACAGTGGTTAGCGTTTCTGTATCGCAGCACTGGGGCTCTGTTCTCAGTTCCCGACCTAGGGTGCCATCTGTTTCTGCCCCGCAATGAATTGGCCCTCTGTCCAGGGTGTACCTTACCTTGTGCCCCTAGCTTGCTGAAATAGGAAATAGGCTCTGGCTCCCCCACATCCCTGAATTGGATGAAGTAGTTAGAAGCTGGATGGGTTAATTTAAGTAAAGAGTTCAAGCTGCACTGAAAACCAGCAGGTTTGTATTGGTCCCCAGGACCAAGGATAGAAAACCCTTGCCTTAAAGTATATACAATATTTCAATTAACACAGTATGTTAATTGTACTGAGCCCAAATGTTAGTGAGCCAGAATAACCCCTGTCCAAAGCAGAAACCCATGGTAAAAGTGTAGTTCTTCAATTTTACAACTGTTGTATGAAGAAAAGCTTTCTGTGGCACCACATTAGTCCAGAAATGAGGAGCTCCAGTCATTGAGGGACAGAATCTTCCAGGTTTTACATAACATGAACCATTTAGACATCGGGTAAAACAGGTGATTTGTCTTTGTTCAGATAAGGAGCTCCATTAAGTCAAGTTGTGGAAAGGAAGATTACCAGATTACCACACAGGACGGGGATAAAGCAGCAGTTTGGATTTTCCTGTATTGCTGGTAACTCAGCATGGCCTGTGACCTCGTCTCCACACCTCTGATAGAGTTGCAGACATTGACTCTCACCCTAAATCTAACTTTAACCCTCAAATCCTGCCCTGAGGATGGATTCTTGTGGATATTCCTTCTTGCCACCTGTGGTTATGAGTGACTATCTTCTGTCAGCTCATTATGACGGTGACGTTAAGAGGTGTGCACTCAGGACTGCACTGCTAGAGCTGCAGGATCAGGGTCTATTGTCTCCATTTCCCATGTACAGGTGTGCTCAGGCTGGCTCCATTTTGTTCTGGATTTACAACGGCTGTATTGTTTACAGTCTATAGATGCAACTGTGCACCTAGCCTCCATATTTTCCTTAAGAGGCTACAAAAAAGGTTATGTTTTCTTAATAATAATGACGACAAAAAGTAGTGTACACTATATTGTTCTGGGTATAATTATTTCTATGCACATAGTTCACTGGGCTGAAAGTAATCATCTTAAAATTTTAGAGTAGTGCCTCTAATTTTCAAGTTGTTACAAAGCAGTTTGAAAATTAGCCACTGCCCTTATTCTAAAATGGGAGAAAGCTGTAGAATAGCAATGACTTGTTTATGGATGGGCAACATGGTGGCGCAGCGGTAGTGCTGTTCCTGTTGGAAGTTAAGTCTAGTTCTGTTTTCATGTTATCCTTAGTGTCCGTGTCCTGCGCTGCTGTCCTCCTCCCACAGGCACGCTGTCCTTTAAATTGACTGCTTAGGACATGTTTGCTCTATGGATGGACTGTAGTCCTGATTTGCACCCTGTGTCTACCAGTTTGTTTAATTTCCCAAGATCACCGTTTGCGCAGACAAAAATATTGACTTTTGTAATGCTCTTAAAACACGTATTTTTATTGCAACGGTTACACGCAATTGCTCGGACAAAACTTGTAATATGTGGAGTAAACATTAGGTGGAGCTAAAATACCACTGTTAACTTATCTTCCCATTTCCACGAGGTTGTGTTTTTCTAATAAAAGTGCGGTGTTTTCTACTTTAGCGGAAATCTGAAACATTTTACAATCCAGATTACGCATATCTCTTATGAATGACATCTAGACGTGCTCTTAAAGATAGTATCAGTATATTATAG